CTGTCCTCAGCCAGCTCGGCTCGCTGGCCGCTCCCTCCTGCACCCACCCGGCCTGGGAACATGCCGGCCGGCATCTTGTTGATTCCGGCCAGTGGGACTCAGCGCTTGGCGCAAAACAAACTTGACCCTTGGGATGGATTTTAAAAATTGTATTTATTGTTTGCTGTAGATGAAATGTGTGGGGTTTTTTTAAAGCAAAGCAGAAACCCCAGCCTAATGCGTGTGGTTTGGAGCCAAGGCAGATGGAAGGGGCAGAGGGATGCTCTGCACGAGCACACGGATGTTCTATCACTCCGGTACTGGCTCTGACACTGGTGCTGTTGGGGGACGCTGAGGATGGAGGCTGACAGGCACAGGGCTGTCATGTCACAGCCCCACTGCCCACGGGGAGCATGTTTAGGCCTGCTCTGTCCTCGCTTCCCTGTCCCCGTGAGGGGCTGTGTAGAGGTGCTGGCACTGCTGTGGCTCCACGGCCTCATGTGCATTTTTAAGCAAATGCTGCTGTTTCCTGTGTCTTGTCAAATAATTACGTTTGGTGTCCAAGGCTCTAGTGCTTCAAGGAGAACCAAATTAAAATTGGATCTCACTGAGCAGAACATTGTGTTCCTGGGTGATGCAGGGGCTGCTCATAGCCAAGCTCCCACAGCTCCGGTCACCCCGAGGCCTGGCATGATCCCGGTGTGATTCCTGCTGTGCCCCTCTGTGACCTCGATGGGCAGCCCACAGGCATGTGAGGATGGAATCACTGGCCTGGCTGTGGCTGGGGTGGGCTCCATCACCTCAATCAATGCTCTGGCTTGAGCACTGCCGTGTCACAGCATGAAGATGCTCGCTGAGGCACCCGCTGCTCTGCTGGGAGATTGGGGTGATGTTTGGAAGCTGCAGCTGCCTCTGAGGGCTGTGTCTGGGGCTTCCTACAGAGTGGAACCGGGAGATATTTGGAGCTGTGAGCGGCCCTGGGGCTGGATGTCCCTTGCCCTGTCCCCACAGGCAGGGATGGACAGCAGGGCTCAGGGAGCTGTGGCACCTGGGGACAAGTGGTGTGTGAGAGCCAGGACACACCAGAGCGTCCTCCCGCCTCTGCTCTTCCCACTCCCCAGATGATGTGGCCACCCCTGGGGGAGGTGGGATGAGTCTCTCTGGGATGAGTCTCTCTGGGATGAGTCTTTCCTGGTAACGTTGTCAGCTCTCATCTCCCAGGGTTAACTTTGTGGAGAGCCATCAGCATCTGCTCACCCGACCACAAACCACGCGTGCGGGGTGTGAGCCGATGGCTCTGGGGGCGGTTGGTGATGCTCCTGCCTGTGCCACAGTGCTGGGCTTGGATAAAACCTCTGACTCTGTGTCTCTTGCTGCAGTGCAGCCCTGCCACCATCCCTGTCCCTGTCCCTGTCCCAGCCAGGCAGGTGGCAGGGGCCATGTGGAGCCCCTTTCCTGGTGCTTCGTTCTTTGGGCTCTCGCTGCCCTGTGAGCTCAGGGCACTAATGCCAGTGTTCTGGTGGAGCTCTTCATTTGTGGCGGTGACAGGTCGGGGCAGAGTGTTCTCAGGCATTTCCCTCCCTGTTCCTGTGGTGCTGGCAGCAGTGGTCCCACGGTTATGGTCCCTGCGGTGGCAGTGTGGGATGACAGTGGGTGCTGTGCCTGGCCCCAGCTCACCCTGGTTTCTGTACAGCCCAACTGCTGCAGCAGTGCTGCAGACGGGGGTTGGCCAAGAGCTGCAGGCGCAGCGTCAGCGGTTGCCGGTGCTGCAGCCTGTGCAGCCCCATGCCCACGTTGCTGCTGAGCCTCAGCCTCTCTCAGGGTGCTGTGGCTCTGTAGGGGACAGTGCATCAGTCCCTGACTGTACTGGCTACCCTGTTCCCACGAGCTCCTGCGCCTTTGGCAGCCCCTGTTCCGCTCCCTGGGCACCGCCACCAACCCAAGGGTCCTGCCTGGCCCCAGCAGGGACTCCATCCTGTGGGTCTGGGGCCTCCTGAGCATCTCCCCCAGACCCTAGCTGGTGTGTGATGGGGGTGTGTGACCTTTCCTGTGCAGTGCCCAGTTTTCCCCATCCCCGTGCTGTGCTCCCCCTGCACAGGCTGGGATCCGAGCAGGGAGCAGCCATCACCACGTGCCATTAGCTTGGTGCACTGCCCCTCGCTTGATACTGCTCAGCAAGTACGACTGTTTACATAGCACATTGTTCAAAGTAATTCAATTTACAGGAATGATCTTTACTTCTAAATAAAAAATTAATATGGTTCTTTTGTTTGTGCGTTTATATAAACGAGCTGGCACGAAGTCAGTTTACAATGTTCCCATCTGAAGTAAATTAGTGAAGTCTCTTAGCTAAGTCTCTGTATAATTTCAGCACAGAAATGTCCTCTTTCTTTTTTTTTTTTCTTTTTTGGTCAGCTATGGTCAGGCTGAAAAATTTAGACCCTTCGTTTCCTCCCAAATAGTTTTGCAATTAGTAATTCCAGCACAGGACGGTCTTTCTACATCTTGTTGAGCCCACGGTGGGCGGCAGCTCTGCGGTGTGGGGTCGGGCATAGGCAGTGTGTTGGTTGTGGTGGCCTGACCTGGGCTCTGTCACTGCCTGTCCACAGCACCTGGGGCCGCACTGGACAGTGAATTGAGGGGTTTGTGGTGCAGGGTCTCTCCTGTTGCTCGGTGTGGTTGTTTCTTCTTGGTGTTTTGTGCCTGTGCTGAGAGATTCAGGAGCTGCTCAGGCAGGGCTGGCAGTGACTCTACTCCCTACTGTGGTGGGGGCTGGTGAGAGCCCCTGGGGAGCCTGAGGTGGCAGTGGCAGTGCTGGGGCTGTGCTGGGAAGCGCGGTGGCTGCAGTCGGGGCTGTGTCAGAGCCAGCACCAGCTCTGCAGTGGCAGAGGACAGGCTCCTTTCTCCCCTGATGCTCTTGCTGCTGCTCATTGCATTTATTTTTTTAAGCAGCAGCAATACTGAAATGCAGAAATCAAACCAAGGCTGTGCCTGGCTCCTCCTGGCAGGCACTGGCCTGGGGGTTCAGGGCCGTGGGGGCCACATCTGCTGCTCCCCGTGAATCGCCCGCCCTTGGCCGTTGGCATGCTGGCAGGAATGGAGGTTTTCAGGAGCACACGATCACACGGTGCAGGGATCCTGGCTGTCTTGTTGCCTCTTCATTGTGCTGAGCTACCTTCCAGCATAGCTCACTCCAGCACAGTCATCATCCTCTCGCAGCGATGAGACCTCCTCGATGGAGGAAAAACCAGATGCGTGCGCCTGTATGTGTGAGGAGAACACACATGGTTTGATTTATGGCAGTGGGAGAGAACCAGCTCTGACACAGTTTCCATCCGAGTCTCACACTGGCTGTTATCAGAATGAAAAATCCCACGGGCTTGGAAGCTGATTCACGGCGCTGCGCCACCTCAGCCCCTCAGCCGCGTCTGGTGCTGCAGGGTTGTGGCGAGTCACACCCCACTGCTGCCCACACTGCTGCCCACACCGCTGTCCACAGCACTGCCCACACCACTGCCCACACCACTGCCCACACCACTCCCTGGGGAACGGCACCCGTGGGACAGTTTTGTTGTATCTCTCCATGCTGTGGGATTCGGGCTGGTTCAGGGTGAGCAATGGGGTCGGCAGCAGCTCCTGTGCCCCAGCATCACCCTGCCT